TCTATTCAAAAATAAACATAGGAACTAAGAAAACTTCCTCAAGCTGATAAAGAGTATCTATAATATCATACTTTATGGTGAAAGGCTGAATAGTTTTCCACATGACTGGGAATAAGGCAAAAAATATTCTACGAATATTTTTATTCGTAGAAGGCATTATTATACAAGTGGAAAATTCCAAATCTACAGAAAAGCCTACTAGAACTAAAAAATAAGTTCAGCAAATTTACAAATTGTAAGGTCAATAAAAAGTATTCATATTTATGCATACTGGCAATGAACAATTGGGAACTGAAATAAAAAAGGTACCATGTACACTAGCACCAAAAATCATGAGTTATTTAGGCATAAATCTAACAACAATTGCAAGGTCTATATACTGTAAACTACAAAATATTGATGAAATAAATCAAGAAGATAAATAGATATACCATGTTCATGGATTGGAAGACTCAATATTGTTGAGATGTTAATTTTTTCTAACTTTATCTAAATATTCAATGCAATTTCAATAAAAACCCCAGCAGGAATTTTTTTTTGGTAGTTACCAACAAGCTGTTTCTAAAATTCATATGGGAAGGTAAAGAAACTAGGAGAGTCAAAATGATTTTGAAGGAGAACCAAATTGGAGGACCATTACCAATGTCAAAACTTATTGTAAAGCTATAGTAATCAAGGCAATGTAATATTGATAGAAGCACATAAATATAAATATGTGTAACAGAACATGGATTCCAGAAAAAGGCCCACACATATAAGGTCAATTGATTCTTTTTGTTTTGTTTTGTTTAGAGATAGGGTCTCACTCTGTTGCTCAGGCTGGAGTATAGTGGTGTGGTCATAGCTCACTGCAGTCTTGAACTCCTGGGCTCAAGCAATTCTCCTGCCTCAGCCTCCTGAGTAGTTGGGGCTATAGATGCATACCACTGTGCCTGGCTTCAGCTGATTTTTGATAAGGGTGCAAGAGCAACTCTATTAAAAAAGCATTCAACAGATGGTGCTGAAATAATTGGGTAGACACATGCAAAAAATAACCCCTAATCCATTCCTCAAATCATATGTAAAAATTTACTCAAAAAGATCAAAAAGACCCAAAAGTAAGACCTAAACTTCTAAAACTTTCAGAAGAAAATATAGGAGGAAATCTTTATGATCTTGGGTTAGACAAAGATTTCTTAGATGTGACACCAAAAGCACTATATAAAAGAAGAAATGATAAATTTGATTTCATAAAAATTTAAAACTTCTGCTTTTTGAAAGATATGTGAAACTTGTTGGAATCAAAATGGAGTCACTGTGTTAAAACTCTGATAAATGGGGCTGGAGGAAACCATAAAGGAATGGTTCTCATGCACAAATGCCTGACAGCAAGAACTATCACAAAAGACTCTGCAAAACCCACAACCTTGCACAAAGGCCAATTGCAACCTTACACACACACACACAAATACTTCTGAGAGGTTGTCTACCCAGAAAACTGTCTTTCCAACCTAGGACTCACCCCACCCTTGTTATTGACCCTTGTAGCCAAGAATTATTATTTCAGAGCAACTTATGTAATCAATCATTTTAATTTTGCCTTTAAAAACTTACCCTTGCCCCAGCCTTGAATAGGCATGTGGTTTACTATGGCACACGTATTACTATTGCAATGCCTATTCTTGAATAAATATCATTTTCTTTTAGAGATCCCCTCTGTCTTTATTTTATTTTTGTTTTCTAGAGAGAAAGCTGCCTAGGCTAGAGTGCAGTGGCACAATCATAGCTCGTTCATTGTAGCCTCGAACTCCGAGGCTCAAGAGATGATGCTGCCTCAGCCTCCCAAGTAGCTAGGATTACAGTTGCAAGCCACCTTGTCTGCCTATTTTATTTTTATTTTTTTACTGTAGAGGCAGGGTCTCTGTATATTGCTCAGGCTGGTCTTGAACTCCTGGGCTGAAATGATCCTCCTGCTTCCGCCTGCCAAAGTGATGAGATTATAGGCATGAGCCACTGCACCTGGTCCCCCTCTCTTTTATTTAGATTAAGGGATATGCATTAAGAAATGAGCAGCTGTAGACTTGGAGGCAGTATTTGCAAATCACATATCTGATAAGGGACTATCTCCAGAATATGGAAATAACTCTCAAAACAAAACAAAGCAAAGCAGCCTAAGAAAACACAGGCAGGAGACTGGGACAAGGCTTCAGAGGAGGCAGACGGATGGCAAAGAAGCACCTGAAAAGCACTCATTCCTCACGAGGGAAACCAACTAACACCACAGTGAACTATCACCACACATCTACTAAAACGGCTAAAATCAGAGACACTGGAAATACCAAGTGCTGGTGAGGTTGCAGAATAGCTCTGGGCTTCCATGCATTGCTAGTGGGAATGCACAGTGCCATAGCCCTCTTGGAAGGTAGCCTGGTATTTGCTAATAAAGTCAATGTACACTTACCAAACAGCTCAGCTACCCACTCCTAGGCATTCACTCAAGTGAAATGACTACTGACTAAAATATATACACAAACATTTATACTGGCTTTATTTATGATATGTCCACATGGAAATAATCCAAATGTCCTTCACCCTGGGAATGCATAAACAAACCATGTCACATTCACAGTAAAGTTACTCAGCAACAAGAGAGGTGAATCACTGATGAACACAAAAACATGGATGCTCCAGGAGGGAAACCAGACTCCACAAGCTACATGTGGTGTCATTTCACTTTTATGACATTCTGAAAAAGGTGAAACTACAGACAGAGAGCAGGTCAGTGGTTCCCAGGGACTGGGAGTTGGAGAGAGTTCACCTCCGAGGGACAGGAGGGAGTGTCTGGGAGGCGGAGCTGTCGGGGAGTCATGCACCCACTGCCATATTTTGTTTGTGATGGTGGGTCCATGACTATATATATTTATCAAAATTTGAGAGCTATAAGCTAAAAATAGTGAATTTTATCATCTGTAAACATACTGTAATTGAAAAGAAAAAAGACACAGAAGAACAAAAGTGGTCTCTCTGCCCTTATTTCCTTCTGCTCTCGCTTGCTGATTCCACCGCGGCGGTGGGGCGCTCCCACCACCGGGTGCACGTTTACCTCTGGACCTTTGCGTGGCCACTCCTTCCGTCTGGGGAACACCCTTCCTCCAGATGGCTGCCTGGCTCAGTCCCTCACCTGATTTTAGTCTTTGCTCAATTGTCACCTTCTTGAAGAACTGATTTAAAATCCTAACCCCACACTTCCTCCTCCCCATCCTCTCTTTTTTCAATGTCACTTTTCGCCCTGTAACATCATATCGTTTACTTTCCTGCTTCTGGTCTCACTGGCAGTCTCCCTACCTGGAAGGTAAGGCATGAGGACAGGGTCTTTATCTCTTTTGTTCACAGCAGTATCCCTGACACCTAGAACACCTGGTCCACACAGCAGGTGCCTAGCACATACTGGTGGAATGAATGGAGTGCTTCATAGCAGGGGATGTATCCAGAGCCACCACCGGCCCAGTCCTGACCTTGGACATGGCACTGTGACAGCCCTCCCACCTCTCCAGGATCCAGTCTGTCAATCATCACACCAGATCCAGCTTCCCAAATGCCTTCTGGTGGACCCTGTGAGGCTCTGCTTCCCTGGCCCCTCTGCCCAGAGCATGTCTCCTTCTCCTCCTTTCTTTCTGTCCCCTTGCCAGGGGTGTAGGAAGATACCCACCAGTCTTCTCCATCCCATAACTGCATCATAAGGTTGGGGTTGCCTGAGAAGCTGCATTTCTGCACATCTGAGCTTTGCAGTAGGAAGAGCTCCAGAGCCTGCGTCCTGGAGATCACATGTTCTGACATCTCTTGGCATCTCAGGGCCAGGGCAGCTCTGGGGAGGCCCTCAAACCCTGCCGTCTTGACCTTGAGAGGTCAACACACAGTTTACTCCTTCTAGAACCCACTTCCTTCCTGTGGCCTCTCCAAAAACTAGCCAGTTCCCTCATCCTGGAAAGGGTGACTTTCCAGACAAACCTGGCTGGGGCCGACTCTGGGAGTGGGAGTGAGGATCCTGTTGGAGCTAGAGCCCGGCTTCCCCCAGGCATAGCAGCAGTCACAGCATGGGCCGCAGGCACCAGCGAGGCCCGTACCTTGCCCCTCCAAACCCACATCACAGCCCCTGTGGCTTCCAGAGTTAAATGTATTTTTAAAGATAGAAAAACGATGTGAACACACTATTAGCAAACATCTGCAGAGGAGCACTCTCGGCTTAGCAACAGAAGCTATGGCAGAGAAGGGAGGCCTGACAACATTCAAACCGGGACTGCGAGGGCTGGAAATGCCTGAGTTCACAGGCAGGTACCGAGACACTCCCAGAACATTCACCAGCGTGGATTGCAACTGGGAAGCCTACTCTGACCCCATGGCTTGGCTGTGGGCCCCAGCCTGGGTGGATGAGTGTCTGCGCAGCAGAACCTGCTTTGGGTCCCCATAGAGGGGGCAGGTGGGGCTCTGGGCTGGGGGCCAGACAGCTCTGACTTGCCTGTCAGACACAGGAAGGTAGAGATGCCCTTTGTGTCTGTCCAGGTCCCTGGGACACTGGGGCGCCCTGGGGACCCTGGAAGGCTGTGGAGGAACCTTCCTTTATTCATGTCCCTTAAATCTCTGCAGAAACACTGGCTGTGGTATCATCTCCACTGTGCTGAATAGAAGCCGAGGCTCAGAGAAACAGGTGGACTGTCTGTCCATCCAGTCACTGACCCGTTCACAGAGCCTGCAGGCACTGCTGGCGACACAGGCCACGGTCCCTCTGGCCCTCACAAGTGCAGGCTATGTGGGCAAGGCCCTCGCTCCAGTTTAAGCTTCCGCTCTCCTGGCCTCCTCTCCTCCAACCTGATCCCCACTCCAACCCTGGCAGGCTGCTTCTGGGGGCAGGACCCTCCTTCCTCAGCACAGGGGCCCCTGGATGGCCTACAGGGAGGCTCCCCTGACAGATAAGGCTGAGTACTGGTGAGGGGTCAGAGGGTCCCTGCTAGTGCTGAGCTGACCTGGAGTTTTGGGACACGGCTGACGACATTCTACCCGTCGGGGTGTGGCTATGTGGCCTTTCAGAACACTGCCCGTCCATTGTTCTGGTTGGGGTGCAGTGCAGACCCACAGGAACCCACCACTAGCTCTGGCCTCACGCCTGTGGGCTGGCCCTGTCTCTGGCACTGACCCTCCCCCGCCCTGGCAGGCCTGACCTCACCCCTGAGGTCACAATGGTTCCAGTGTCCACAGCATCCTTTCTAGGGTCTGTGTTGTGGGGACAGCAGGCGTGCGTGTGTGCCTCTGTTTGTGTGTGCGTGCTCAGACGTGTGTCCTCAAGGGGTCCCGGCCCTTCCCCTTCCTTCTCTGGGCCTCAGTTGTCTCCTGGGAGACCCATGGATGCTCTGGCCTGGGCTATTTGTTTGCTAAGTCCAGGTCCCTGTGCAGGTGACAGGTCCCGGGGCTGGAGCTGTGACTTCCCCTCTGGGCCCGAGTCTGAACACCTGCGATGTGCTGGGCTCCCCTCTGGGTGCTGATGCTTGACTCCTCTGGGATCCTCTCCAGTGGAAGGAACCAGGAGCGGGGACAGCCTGGGAGCTCAGCCTGTGGGGCTGGGCAGGCTGTCCTGAATCAAATCCAGCCCCCTCTCTGCTGACCGCGTGCCCGGGAACCTCGCCGTACCTCACGGTGCACTCCTCTCCATCTGCAATACCGGAGCAGGACCGAGGGTCAGCGTGGCCGCTTTCTCCTCTCCCGGCCTGGGCCTCTCCCTGCTCACTACCCCGGGATTGGGGCGGAGCTCAGAGAGGGCCAGGAGCCAGTGACTGGTCGCACAGCAATCAGTGGTGGAAATGAGTATCAAACTCAGGTGTCTAGATTCAAGTCTAGCGTGAGGACGAGTCCCCTGGACCAGTGGCACCCGCCGCCTCCCCGCCGCCGGCTCCGCGACCCGGCCTCCCGTGCGGCCGGCAGATGGCGCTGCGGGCCCAGGCAGGACTCGCGCGGCGGGAGGGCACGGCCTGGACCGGGGGCCTGTGAGAGGCACACGTGCCACCCAGCCCACGCGCCCTCCCCGCTGCGCCCTCCCTCCAGCCAGAGACCCGCAGAAAGGGATGCCTGGCATCCCACCGTCTTAGACCTGGGGCTGCAGGCACTACCCCTGGGAGCAGTGACTGCCTGAGGGCGCCACGTGGCTCCCACCACCAAGCCTTTGCACAGGGCGTTCCCCCTCCTGCTATTCGCCTGCAATGAGGAAGGGCCGGACTCAATGAGGAAGGGGCAGCTCCCTGGCCTCTCAGGCTCCTTCTCTCTGTCCCTGCCCAACTCCCTGGGGTTCCTAGGCTGCAGCCAGGTTTGAGGCTTTGTGCAGTGCTTTCCTCCTGGAATGTGCCCTACCCCACACTTTCCTAAAGAAAGAGCGTTTTTGCCCTTTCGTATCTGTCCTTGGAGACTCCCACCCAGGTCACCTCCTTGGGGAAGCCATCCCTGATTTCTTTGGGCTCCCATAGCATTTATTCTCGATATGGTTTGTTCAATCATGCTGGGCCTGACTGGGTGGTGGGACGGTGGGGGCTGTGCTGTGACTGGAGGTGACAGGAGGGGCCAGGTGGACACCCATGCCCCTCGTTCAGCTGGGTCCCACTACCAGTTCCCCTGGCTGCTGCCTCAAGGCCTGACTCCCTGAAGTTCCCTTCCCAGGAGACAGTGGCCCTGTTTGACCAGTGGACACCCCCACAGAAGACGTAAACGTAAGGCCTGAAGCTGTAAAACTCCTAGAGGAAAACAGGGGAAATGCTGTTTGACATGGGTCTTGGCAATGATTTTTTGGATATGAAGCCAAAGCACAGGCGAAAAAGCAAAAATAGACAAGTGGGACGACACCAAACTCAAAAGCTTCTGCACAGCGAAGGAAACAACAAAATGAAAAGGCAGCCTGTGGAATGGGAGGAAATATTTGCAAACCCTCTCTCTGATAAGGGGTTAACATCCAAGATCTATAAGGAACTGCTGTCACTCAAGAGCAGAAAACCCAATCAGCCAATGAAAAAGTGGGTAATAAGTTGACATTTGTCCAAAGACGACAAATAATCAACTGGTATATAAAAAGGTGCCCATCACTAATCACCAGGACATGCAAATCAAAGCCACAGTGAGATCGCCTTGCACCTGTTAGCATGGCTGGCATCAAAAAGACAAGATGGCAAGGGTTGGCCGGGGTGTGGAGAAAGGGAAGCCTTGTACCCTGTTGGTGGGAATGTAAAATGGTGCAACCAATATAGGAAACAGCACGGAGGTTCCTCGGAAAACTAAAGATAGACCTGCCATCTGATCCAGCAATCCCTCTACTGGGTTACAGCCAAAGGAAATGGAACCAGGATCTTGAAGATATAGCTGCACTCCCATGATGGCTGCGGCTTTGTTGCAAGATAGCCAAGATATGGAAACCCTGCAGCGTCTCTGGTCAGATGAATGAAGAAAGAAAATGTGGTATATACACACAATGGAATATTAGCCTTTAAAAAGAAGGAAACCTGCCATATGAGACAACGTGAATAAACCTGGAGGATTTCATTCAATAAAGCCAGACCCAGAAAGGCCAATTCTGCTTGATTCTGCTTCTACATGGAATCTAAGAGTCAAAGTCAGAAGCAGAGAATAAAATGGTGGTTCCCAGGGCAGGGGGTAGGGGGGAAGGGGAAAGGAGGCATTGCTGCTGAATGGGGATAAGTCTCAGTGAAGATACGTTGCAGAAGTCTGCTGTGCCACGTTGCACCTATAGTTAACGAAGCTGCACTGCACACTTAAATGTTTGTTAAGTGCATAGATCTCATGTTAAGTGTTCTTACCACAGAAAAACAAAAACAGCCACCACTGAGCACTCCCCACTCAGCCTCTAGCAGTAGCGCTGGGATCCCCAAGTGGGGCTGCAGGGCCTCAAGGTTGGCCCTTCCCTAGCAGCTGTGGCCTGGCGGGGCTCCGGGCTCTTGCCAGGGCTCTGCGCTCCCGCCTGAGGGAGTGTCTGTCCTCTCTGAGCCTTGCTGCTCTCAGGAGCACAGCAGGGATGGACTGAGGCCCCCCTTGGGGGGCAGAGACAGTGCTCACCTCCCAGCCCTGGGCGGGTCCCCGTCCTGCAGATGGGTGATTCCCTATGCCAAGATTGCCCAAGGAGGGTCCCACTGGCAGGGTGGGGCAGCCCCGGTCAGCAGCAGGCCCGGGTCCACAAGCTGGGACACTGCCCAGGGGCTCCTCCTCGCCTTCCAGGGCTCCCCTCCTCCTCCACACCCGCTCCTACACTTTCACAGAAAAAAGAGTAGAGAAAAGGCAAAAGAAAGAGGTTTTCTCCTCCGCTTTCTGAAAATGAGATTTTAAAAATAACTCCTGGCGGGGGGAGCGCTGGGAGGGGCCTTTCTGGGGAGGCCAGCCAAGCCTGCTCTCCCTTCTCCGTAGGCAGCCACCACCTGGGGCCTGGGGCCTGGGGCCTGCATGCCTCCACCAATAGGCTTCCTCTGCCGGACACCCTTCTCTGTCCCTCAGGAAGGCGGGGCCTTCCTGATCTGCTGGAGGAGAAAGCAAAGGCCAGTGTGTAGTGGGGAAGCTGCTGGGGGCAGGGGGTAATGCTGATGGCAGAGGAAGGAATGTCGGGCCATGGCCCCAGGCAGGAGAAAGGGGCTGGCTCCTACACGTCCCCCACATTTCCCCTGTCTCGCCAGTGCCCTCGGCCTCCTCTCGGCTCACTGCTCACCAGCCACAGGCCTCCTGGGCTGATGTTTCATGGTCCTTAGGGGCTGGGGCTTTTCCTGCCACAGGACCTTTGCACACACTGCTCCTAAGGCCCACCTAGCCCCTGCTTCAGCGTCATTCCCTGAGAGGCCATCTCAGATCACAGAATGGACACAGAGTGTCCCCCGCCCACCTTGATACTGTCAGAGCTCCCTGCAAATTTCCCTTTCCTAACGGCATTTCCGTCTGGGTTTCTCTCTGTTGCCCTCCCAGTTTACAGTCAACAGGCTCCAGAGGGTGGGCTGAGCGCAGATACTCTTGCCCCCTCACCCCGCACTTGGGCTCTCGTCATTCCTATTCTTCACCTGCCATCACCTGTGTTTCTCTCTCTGGGGGGATCTCTGGCCACTGCTGAAGCTACCAGGGAATCCAGCTTTCCTGGGAGCAGCCTTGACCTGTGATTTGGGGGCGGGGACAGACAGCTCAGCCCTACCCCTCTGATGGGGTGACCCAGTGAGATCACGCCCCGGTGGCTTCCAGGATGCTGGGTGCTTGACAACGCCATTCCGGCTTCCCACCTTCTGAGTCTCTCTTCCTCCCCCATCCCACGGTGTTTCCTGGGATCACGTCCCAAGAACACGCCTGCCCTGAGTTACTGCCTTGGGATCTGCCTGGTAGGCAGAAGAAATGCCCCCAAAGTATCAATGTTCTCATGCCCGGAACCTGTACTTGTTACTTTTTATGGGAAAAAAGGACATTGTAGCTGTGATGAAATTAAGAATCTTTAGGGACATTATTATCCAGGTGGTCCCCCAATGCAATCATGTGTGGCCTTACAAGAGGGAGGCAGAGGCAGGTTTGACTACAGACAGAAAGGAGGCTGTGAGGCCCCGGAGGCAGAGGTTGGAGGGAGGCAGCCACCAGCTTCCGGCGGAGGTGAGGAAGGCTCCACCATAGCCTCTGGGGCAAGCGTGGCCCTGCTGGCTCCTTGGTTTTGGCCCAGGGATGTGACTTTAACCCAGGCTGGTGGTAATTAGTTACAGCAGCTCCAGGAAGTGCACACTCTCGGCTGCAGGGGAGCCCACACTGAGATGCGTTGGGTCGGTTTCATTCTTGCCGCCAAAGGAAGGTTGTCCCTCCAGATGCTGGGCACATGGCCAGCCAGGAGTGGATGGCACGTCCCAGCCTCTCTTGCAGCCAAGGGGGACCACAAGACAAAATCCTCAGCCCTGGAATTTGAGAAGTGGTGTGGGCAGTGTCTCCTTGTGTTCTCCATAGGAAGCTGTCAGCCCATGACTGCCTTTGCCCCTCCTGGGCTGGGATGCAGTACGTGCCGCTGCACCTCAGTCTTGCAGATGAGGACACCCACCCCTGGGTGAGGGCAGAGCTGCAGGCCAAAGAGCCTGGGCCCCTGAGTGTCCCCAAGGAGCAGAGCTGCCCTCGAGGCCAGCACTGGCTGGACTGTTGCAGGAGGGAGACAAACGTTCTGTCTTGTTTTAGCCACTGTATTTGGGGGTGCTTTGTTACAATAGCTTAGATGTCTCCCTGACTGACACAGCTTGGTTTAGAGGCCACTAGCCAGCTAGGGCGAGGTCCCCAGGAGGTGCTCGGTGGCGGTCGGCAGAATGAGCATGTCAGGATGAACTGTTTCTTCCTCTCGCAGTCACACAATGATATTGATAGCCGAGCCGTCATTCAGGACCATCGCTCAGCCGCAGCCCACCAGGCTGAGCTGAAGTTGACTTGCACCTGCCTTGAGAATTGGTGTCAGGGGGCATCTGGCTGGAGCACAGGAAGGTGGAAAACACATGTGGGTCATGTGAATACAGGACTACACTCACCATGGCTGACTCTGAGGTCTGAGAGCTGGGTACACTCCTGCCTACAAGTGCCGGGAGGGCTGGGCTTCAGCCTTCCCGTCCTTCTCCACGCCCAGCTCAGAGCCTGGCCCAGCAGGGGCTCAGGAAAGGCTTGGGGGTGGAAGCTGGATAGGGCACTGGGACGCTGCTTCTTGGGACCACAGATGGCGTTCAGGGCCTGGATGGAAGAAGCAGAGGGCGTAGACCTCATGGCTGGAGGGCAGATCCCAGGCACACTCCACATTCCTGAGCACTGTGCCTGTGGGGGCGATCCCAGCACTGTGACCTCACTGGGGGGCTGTCACACAGGACAATAACGGGAAGGAACTGTGCAGGTGCCATGCATGCCGGAATGCAGGGAGCTCGATTTCCTGTTCCACGTCTGTCATTTTATACCAGTGAATGTGAGACACATGTGTGCCTTTCAGAGCAGCACTGTGGCAGGTTCCAGGCCCAGCCCCACCCCGCATAAGATAGGAGGGTCTTCAACTACAAAGGTCCCCTCATGAAGTGGCCATGAAGTCAGGCCTCCAGGGTGAGGGGATGTTCCAAGGGCAGGTTGAATTCCAGCTTTGTTATACTGTATTTTCCCTTCTCAAAGGCCCATTTATTTCTCTGTTCACCTCAGGTCTTCAGCCCCATTTCACAGATGGGCCAGCGAGGCTCAGGGAAGGGAGGAGGTTGCATAGCCCACAGGTTTCGAGCATCCCACTCAGAGCCTCGGCCTCTGCTGGATCTGCTTGGCTGCACCCCAGCCTTGCTGGAGGTGGGGGAGAGCATGGGGCGTGGCTTATCTGGGGAGAAGGGTTCCAGCTCACCTGCTGGGGCTGGGCAGGACTTTCTTTAAGTCTGGCTCAGAGGAGGTGGCCCAGGGCTGTTCTGAGGGGTTCTCAGGGGGGTGGGAAGACAGAGTGGGTACAGGGTTTTGCCATGACAACCCTGGCCTTCCCTACCTCCCACATGCCCGCCTTCCTAAGTCTGAGGCTGGCACTGACCTAGGAATCTCAGCGGAGGGTGCTGGAGCCCAAGCTGCTCAGAGGGTGTGGTCTCGAATGGCAGGGCCCTGGACATGAGACCGTGTGCAGCCTGAGGTCATCACCAGGACACATGGGAGCCCACAGAAGGCAATGGAGGGACCACATCCAAACAGGTGACTTCTGATGGGGGTGCCAGCCAGGCCTGGGAGGCTCCAAGGTACAGAGCAGGCCAAGTGGGCTTCCTGGAGGAGGTAGTATGAGCCAGAACCTGAAAGGGTTGCACTGCAGAGGAGAGTGGGAAGGGCACCCTCTTAAGTCAACTGCACAGAGAGGTGG